AATATTTTCCTTCAAATAGAGGATGATGAACACACAAAAGCGAGTATGCGTTGACCGGGAATCGAACCCAGATTATTGCTTGGATGGCAACAATGCTAACCAATACACCATCAACGCAAGATATGACAATATTCGACACATCATTGTACTTTTTGTTACAAATCAAAGGCAGCAAATAGATGGAGAGCATGAAGAAAATCATAAAAAGAAAAAAAACTGCACGCAAGTTTGAATGGAAAAATTCATCGTGAACAGTTTTATATGCATCGTTATAATCCTGGATAAAAAATATGCGTTTAAAAACCAATCTCGATTAGTTCTGTGGTGTAATGGTTAGCACTTTGGACTCTGAATCCAACGATCCGAGTTCAAATCTCGGCAGGACCAACTTTAACTCTAATCACTCTTCACGGAAAAAACTGCAAGCATTGCACGTCTCGTTGAATCAAGGCACTTTTTAAAATGATTTGTCGAAGATTTATGGCAGTAAAGATAACTCGTACATCATTTTTTTGTAGTGTTCTGAGTCCCGTAAATTCACTCAAAATATGTTGTTTCTGATTTTTTTTTGGAAATATAAAACCAATGGAATGAAATAGCAACTGTTTTGTTAACAAAGGGAAAAGTTAATTTTTATTGTCGGCTTAAAAACATGCAATATTTTCCTTCAAACAGAGGATGATGCAGGCCCAAAAGCGAATATGCGTTGACAGGGAATCGAACCCAGATCTACTGCTTGGAAAGCAGCAATGCTAACCTATACACCATCAACGCAAGATATGACAATATTCGACACATCATTGTACTTTTTGTTACAAATGAAAGGCAGCAAATCACACATGTCCAATACTGTCAAATAGACACGACCCGTACGACTCGCAAAATTGGACGAATTGAATGAATGTCGATTCGACCCGTACGATTTGTCAAATCGTACGAATCGTTACGACCCGTACAAGTGGAAGAATGCGTCATTGATCCCACCAAATTCGGTTGGTCCGTAGCTACTATTGTAGTGGGGAAATGCGTCATGCTGTGTTGCCCGATAGAGGAGTCTAACTCTATTCGTCAACCCGTACGATTTGTCAAATTGGACGAGTCGATTCGACCCGTACAAGTGGAGAAATTAATCGTGAGTCGATTCGATCCGTATAAGTGGAGAAATGAATCGTGCTGGGCTGGACGCACAACTCAACAAATATAAATACATATTCAATTGCCTCGTTCTTTAAAAACCACACAGACACATGCAAAATTCCACATGCGAAATATTTCAATTACCAACGCACAACTCAGCGAATATAAATACATATTGAATTGCCTCGTTCTTTAAAAACCACACAGACACAGGATTCCACATGCGAAATATTTCAATTACCAACGCACAACTCAGCGAATATAAATACATTTGAATTGCCTCGTTCTTTAAAAACCACACAGACACAAGATTCTATATGCGAAATATTTCAATTAGCAACGCATAACTCAGCGAATACAAATACATATTGAATTGCCTCGTTCTTTAAAAACCACATATTATTCAACATAGGAAATATTGTCTTTCAGTTAGCAATGCACAACTCAACAAATATAAATACATATTGAATTGCCTCGTTCTTTTAAAACCACATCGGCAAATATAAATACACAGTTAGTTATAAAGCCACTACAGGCCACTAGCGATATTTTTCGCGCGAAGTGACATTCTATTTATGTCAGAGCTCCCAACTTTCATGTATTATAGGAAATTAGTGTTATTACTGATGGTCGATCTCAAAAAATCGATCTCTTTCATGACACGTGATTAAGTCATTTTATTTATTTGTGAAACGTGTTGCTAACAATTAACCTTCGTTATTCATAAGTCATAACTCGCCTATTTACTTTGCCCGCTTGGTTATGCACTTATCGCTAGCAATTCAATATCTGTTACTCGTGCCGGAGACCTGCACTGATCATATCATAACATTGACATAATTACCGCTTCCGCAAGGTACCAAGCGGTGCATTCCGCACGCCAACCAACAAATATAAACTATACCCCGGCCGCCGTTTAAACAGAAAGAAGTTATTAAAACCATTTATGGCGACACAACAATTCGTTTTGCAATGTTCAAAAGCGCAAATTTCTCAAAGACGTCTTAATTAGTTAACCTGCACCGTAAAACGAGAACGAACGAATATGCAAGTATGCTAATGTTTTCATTGAAATTACGAAAAGCTGATTGGTTTGCATATTTAAACATGTACGAATGGACGAAAGCGACGAACGAATGAGCGACAAAAAGTCGCTTGCTTGTACTAAACATGTTTTCAACCGTATTGTAATGCTTGTATATTTTTTCTGTCGTTGTGCTGATAGAAAAACTACATTTCGGCTAATTCAATCAAGGATGGTAGAAGATAGTCTTAACTTAAGGCCGTAAAGAAGATACACACAGACATGTATTACCATTAGATATATATTTGGGGATATGCAATACACAAGCATGCGCACGTAAAAATCTCACATCTTGTAACTGAAAACGCCAAAAGAATTGTAATTTCATCACATTTTTTTGAGCCTAATAGGTGATCATAACAGAAAGGAATTTCATGTGATAGAAACTATTTAGCGTTAAGTTTAACTCGACTTTGTGATATTATTGTAATTTCCATAACATGCCAGTTAAAACGTATATTCAAATCCCAGGAGCATAATAAGTTCCATAGCCACAATAAACTTAAATGCAAATCAGCAGTAACTGCTATACATATTACGATAGTTAAATTATTGTCGTCAGTCGCTTCGATCTCGCTTGTCTGCTCTTCCATTGCGGCATTTATCACCGGTAGTATACATTGAATATATTGCCTGAACGGCGTAGTGCAAATTTAATAGCACGATGTTTAAAACCTCTACGTCGTCTGCCATGCTTTTTCAAACAGCTCATTCGTAGTTTGCACAATTGCAAATCCACCTGGAATTGCATATAAATACACGTATATGCAAATGTCTTAAAACACATGAAGAAATGCTTAAGAATTGTTGTAATAATTGCATTGAGGCTACTTAACACGACCTTGATTAACTATAAAATTCAATTGAGTTTACGAATTGACGACTTCGGTAAAATACTCAGGGTTCTATGTATAATATTATTCAACTTAGTTATTCCTCAGTTTGGGATGTTACCATTACCGTTCATCGATCATCGTCATCTTGTTGCATGCCCCCTGTTTTAACCGTATAATATACACGATATCACAACACAAAATTACCTCACCAAAATATGCATGCTATGGCTTAAAGTTTATAAACAAATATGATAATAAACTTGTTTTAGCCAATAGAAACCATCTATTTGAACGATTGTGAACCGTACTCTCGTTCAGTTAATGAGGCTACTCGTTCGTTCTCGTTCTACGGTGCAGGTTAAATTTTGTTTGAATGCGTTAACCGCGATTTATTTCTCCACTTGTACGGGTCGAAACGTCTCGTACGATTTGACAAATCGTACGGGTCGACATCATGATGCATTTCTCCACTTGTACGGGTCGAAACGACTCGTACGATTTGACAAATCGTACGGGTCGACGAATAGAATTAGTCCCTCTATCTCTAGACACATCAGGTGCATTTCTCCACTTGTACGGGTCGAAACGACTCGTACGATTTGACAAATCGTACGGGTCGACGAATGGAGTTAGTCCCTCTATCTCTAGACACATCAGGTGCATTTCTCCACTTGTACGGGTCGAAACGACTCGTACGATTTGACAAATCGTACGGGTCGACGAATAGAGTTAGTCCCTCTATCTCTAGACACATCAGGTGCATTTCTCCACTTGTACGGGTCGAAACGACTCGTACGATTTGACAAATCGTACGGGTCGACGAATGGAGTTAGTCCCTCTATGTCTAAACACATCATGATGCATTTCTCCACTTGTACGGGTCGAAACGACTCGTACGATTTGACAAATCGTACGGGTCGTCGAATAGAGTTAGCCCCTCTATGTCCAAACACATCATGATGCATTTCTCCACTTGTACGGGTCGAAACGACTCGTACGATTTGACAAATCGTACGGGTCGTCGAATAGAGTTAGCCCCTTTATCTCCAAACACATCATGATGCATTTCTCCACTTGTACGGGTCGAAACGACTCGTACGTTTTGACAAATCGTACGGGTCGACGAATAGAGTTAGCCCCTCTATGTCTAGACACATCAGGGTGCATTTCTCCACTTGTACGGGTCGAAACGACTCGTACGATTTGACAAATCGTACGGGTCGACGAATAGAGTTAGCCCCTCTATCTCTAGACACATCAGGTGCATTTCTCCACTTGTACGGGTCGAAACGACTCGTACGATTTGACAAATCGTACGGGTCGACGAATAGAGTTAACCCCTCTATCTCTAAACACATCATGATGCATTTCTCCACTCGTACGGGTCGACGAATAGAGTTACATGATGCATTTCTCCACTTGTACGGGTCGATAAGACATTCATTCAACTCAACCAATTTTACGGGTCGTACGGGTCGTGTCTATTTGACAGTATTGGACAACCCTCCAGCAAATAGATGGAGAGCATGAAGAAAATCATAGAAAGCAAAAAAAACTGCACGCAAGTTTGAATGGAGAAATTCATCGTGAACAGTTTTATATGCATCGTTATAATCCTGAATGAAAAAAAGGCGCTTCGACACCAATCTCGATTGGTTCTGTGGTGTAATGGTTAGCACTTTGGACTTTGAATCCAAGAATCCGAGTTCAAATCTCGGCAGGACCTATACGAATGCGATTAACGCTAATGACACTTTCACGCTAAGATAATTTTGCCTTGATTGAAGGTCTTGTGGAAGCGAGGCACTTTTTAAGATGATTAGTCGAAGATTTAGTGCAATGAAGATAATTTGTAAGTTTTTTTGCAGAAAATCATCGTGAACAGTTTTATATGCATCGTTTTAATCCTGGATCAAAAAATGCATTTAAAACCAATCTCGATTGGTTCTGTGGTGTAATGGTTAGCACTTTGGACTCTGAACCCAACGATCCCGAGTCCAAGTCTCGGCAGGACCAACTTTAACTCTAATCACTCTTCACGGAAAAAACTGCAAGCATTGCACGTCTCGTTGAATCAAGGCACTTTTTAAAATGATTTGTCGAAGATTTATGGCAGTAAAGATAACTCGTACATCATTTTTTTGTAGTGTTCTGAGTCCCGTAAATTCACTCAAAATATGTTGTTTCTGATTTTTTTTGGAAATATAAAACCAATGCAATGAAATAGCAACTGTTTTGTTAACAAAGGGTAAAGTTAATTTTTATTGTCGGCTTAAAAACATGCAATATTTTCCTTCAAACAGAGGATGATGAAGACCCAAAAGCGAATATGCGTTGACCGGCAATCCAACCCAGATCTACTGCTTGGAAGGCAGCAATGCTAACCTATACACCATCAACGCAAGATATGTAAATTTTCGACACATCATTGTACTTTTTGTTACAAATCAAAGGCAGCAAAAAGATGGAGAGTATGAAGAAAATCATAGAAAAAAAAATTGAACGCAAGTTTGAATGGAGAAATTCATCGTGAACAGTTTTATATGCATCGTTATAATCCTGGATGAAAAAAATGCGCTTTATGCAGGATTATTATGATGCGCAAAATATGTTGTTTCTATTTTTTGCAATATTTTCCTTCAACAGACGATGATGAAGACACAAAAGCGAGTATGCGTTGACCGGCAATCCAACCCAGATCTACTGCTTGGAAGGCAGCAATGCTAACCTATACACCATCAACGCAAGATATGTCAATCTTCGACCCATCATTGAACTTTTTGTTACAAATAAAAGGCAACAAATAGATGGAGAGCTTGAAGAAAATCATACAAAAAAAGAATTGAACGCAAGTTTGAATGGAGAAATTCATCGTGAACAGTTTTATATGCATCGTAATAATCCTGCATGAAGAAAATGCGCTTCGACACCAATATCGATTGGTTCTGTGGTGTAATGGATAGCACTTTGGACTTTGAATCCAAGAATCCGAGTTCAAATCTCGACAGGACCTATACGAATGCAGTCACCGCTAAGCACTTTTTCACGCTTAGATAATTTTGCAAGGATTAAAGGTCTTGTGGAAGCGAGGCACTTTTTAAGATGATTAGTCGAAGATTTAGGGCAATGAAGATAATTTATACGTTTTTTTGTAGTGTTCTGAGTCCCGTAAATTCACTCAAAATATGTTGTTTCTAATTTTTTGGGGAAATATAAAACCAATGGAATGAATTAGCAACTGTTATTAAAAAACCAAAGGGAAAAGTTAATTTCTATTGTCAGTTTAAACACTTGCAATATTTTCCTTCAAATAGAGGATGATGAAGACCCAAAAGCGAGTATGCGTTGACCGGGAATCGAACCCAGGTGTATTGCTTGGAAGGCAGCAATGCTAACCATTACACCATCAACGCAAGATATGACAATATTCGACACATCATTGTACTTTTTGTTACAAATCAAAGGCAGCAAAAAGATGGAGAGCATGAAGAAAATCATAGAAAGAAAAAAACTGCACACAAGTTTGAATGGAGAAATTTATCGTGAAAAGTTTTATATGCATCGTTATAATCCTGGATAAAAATATGCGTTTAAAAACCAATCTCGATTGGTTCTTTGGTGTAATGGTTAGCACTTTGGACTCTGAATCCAACGATCCGAGTTCAAATCTCGGCAGGACCAACTTTAACTCTACTCACTCTTTACGGAAAAAATTGTAAGCATTGCACGTCTGGTTGAATCAAGGCACTTTTTAAAATGATTAGTCGAAGATTTATGGCAGTGAAGATGATTCGTACATCACTTTTTTGTAGTGTTCTGAGTCCCGTAAATTCACTCAAAATATATTGTTTCTGATTTTTTTTGGAAATATAAAACCAATTGAATGAAATAGCAACTGTTTTGTTAACAAAGGGAAAAGTTAATTTCTTTTGCCGGCTTAAAAAAATGCAATAATTTCTATTAAACAGAGGATGATGCAGACCTAAAAGCGAATATGCGTTGACCGGGAATCGAACCCAGATCTACTGATTGGAAGGCAGCAATGCTAACCATTACACCATCAACGCAAGATATGACAATCTTCGACACATCATTGTACTTTTTGTTACAAATCAAAGGCAGCAAAAAGATGGAGAGCATGAAGAAAATCATAGAAAAAAAAAATTGAACGCAAGTTTGAATGGAGAAATTCATCGTGAACAGTTTTATATGCATCGTTATAATCCTGGATGAAAAAAATGCGCTTCGACACCAATCTCACGTTGGTTCTGTGGTGTAATGGTTAGCACTTTGGCCTTTGAATCCAAGAATCCGAGTTCAAATCTCGGCAGGACCTATACGAATGCGATTACCGCTAATCACACTTTCACGCTTAGATAATTTTGCAAGGATTGAAGGTCTTTTGGAAGCGAGGCACTTCTTTAAGACGATTAGTCGAAGATTTTGGGCAATGAAGATAATTTGTACGTTTTTTGTAGTGTTCTGAGTCCCGTAAATTCACTCAAAATATGTTGTTTTTATTTTTCGGGAAATATAAAACCAATGGAATGAATTAGCAACTGTTTTTAGTAATAACAAAGGGAAAAGTTAATTTCTATTGTCGGCTTAAAAACTTGCAATATTTTTCTTCAAATAGAGGATGATGAAGATCCAAAAGCGAGTATGCGTTGACCGGGAATCGAACCCAGATCTATTGCTTGGAAGGCAACAGTGCTAACCATTGCACCATCAACGCAAGATATGACAATCTTCGACACATCATTGTACTTTTTGTCACAAGTCAAAGGCAGGAAAAAGATGGAGAACATGAAGAAAATCATAGAAAAAAAAAATTGAACGCAAGTTTGAATGGAGAAATTCATCGTGAACAGTTTTATATGCATCGTTATAATCCTGGATGAAAAAAATGCGCTTCGACACCAATCTCACGTTGGTTCTGTGGTGTAATAGTTAGCACTTTGGACTTTGAATCTAAGAATCCGAGTTCAAATCTCGGCAGGACCTATACGAGCGCCTTTAATGCCAATCACACTTTTATGCTAAGATAATCTTGCCTTCATTGAAGGTCTTGTGGAAGCGAGGCACTTTTTAATATGATTAGTCGAAGATTTAGTGCAATGAAGATAATTTGTAGGTTTTTTTGTAGAAAATCAACGTGAACAGTTTTATATGCATCGTTATAATCCTGGATCAAAAAATGCGTTTAAAACCAATCTCGATTGGTTCTGTGGTGTAATGGTTAGCACTTTGGACTCTGAATCCAACGATCCGAGTTCAAATCTCGGCAGGACCAACTTTAACTCTAATCAATCTTCACGGAAAAACTGCAAGCATTGCACGTCTCGTTGAATCAAGGCACTTTTTAAAATGATTTGTCGAAGATTTATGGCAGTAAAGATAACTCGTACATCATTTTTTTATAGTGTTCTGAGTCCCGTAAATTCACTCAAAATATGTTGTTTCTGATTTTTTTTCGAAATATAAAACCAATGCAATGAAATAGCAACTGTTTTGTTAACAAAGGGTAAAGTTAATTTTTATTGTCGGCTTAAAAACATGCAATATTTTCCTTCAAACAGAGGATGATGAAGACCCAAAAGCGAATATGCGTTGACCGGGAATCGAACCCAGATCTATTGCTTGGATGGCAACAATGCTAACCATTGCACCATCAACGCAAGATATGACAATCTTCGACACATCATTGTACTTTTTGTTACAAATCAAATGCAGCAAAAAGATGGAGAGCATGAAGAAAATCATAGAAAAAAAAATTGAACGCAAGTTTTAATGGAGAAATTTATCGTGAACAGTTTTATATGCATCGTTATAATCCTGAATGAAAAAAATGCGCTTCGACACCAATCTCGATTGGTTATGTGGTGTAATGGTTAGCACTTTGGACTTTGAATCCAAGAATCCGAGTTCAATTCTTTGCAGGACCTATACGAATGCGATCACCGCTAATCACACTTTCACGCTTAGATAATTTTGCAAGGATTGAAAGTCTTGTGGAGGCGAGGCACTATTTAAGATGATTAGTCGAAGATTTAGGGCAATGAAGATAATTTGTACGTTTTTTTGTAGTGTTCTGAGTCCCGTAAATTCTCTGAAAATATGTTGTTTCTAATTTTTTGGAGAAATATAAAACCAATTGAATGAATTAGCAACTGTTTTTAGTAATAACAAAGGGAAAAGTTAATTTCTATTGTCGGCTTAAAAACTTGCAATATTTTCTTTCAAATAGAGGATGATGAAGACCCAAAAGCGAGTATGCGTTGACCGGGAATAGAACCCAGATCTATTGTTTGGAAGGCAACAATGCTAACCATTACACCATCAACGCAAGATATGACAATATTCGACACATCAATATACTTTTTGTTACAAATCAAAGGAAGCAAAAAGATGGAGAGCATGAAGAAAATCATAGAAAAAAAAATTGAACGCAAGTTTGAATGGAGTAATTCATCGTGAACAGTTTTATATGCATCGTTATAATCCTGGATGAAAAAATGCGCTTCGAAACCAATCTCACGTTGGTTCTGTGGTGTAATGGTTAGCACTTTGGACTTTGAATCCAAGAATCCGAGTTCAAATCTCGGCAGGACCTATACGAATACGATTAACGCCAATCACACTATCACGCTAAGATAATTTTGCAAGGATAGAAGGTCTTGTGGAAGCGAGGCACTATTTAAGATGATTAGTCGAAGATTTAGGGCAATGAAGATAATTTGTACGTTTTTTTGTAGTGTTCTGAGTCCCGTAAATTCTCTGAAAATATGTTGTTTCTAATTTTTTGGAGAAATATAAAACCAATTGAATGAATTAGCAACTGTTTTTAGTAATAACAAAGGGAAAAGTTAATTTCTATTGTCGGCTTAAAAACTTGCAATATTTTCCTTCAAATAGAAGGATGATGAAGACCCAAAAGCGAGTATGCGTTGACCGCGAATCGAACTCAGATCTATTGCTTGGAAGGCAGCAATGCTAACCATTACACTATCAACGCA